TTTGTTTTCTACTTTTTTAATATATTTATATATGACATGTTATTATATATCATGATAAAATAGTAAAAGTAGTAATAGTAAGTTTTTTAATTTGTCATGCGAATTTACAAGTTATTAAAAAATACCTTTTTTTTGCGCGCTCGATAATTATATTAAAATATAAAAAAATATTCTCACAATTTATTTTCAAAAATATCTATTTAACATATATTATATATAAATATATATATATTTTTTATTGACATTTATATAATATCCAATAGAAAGTCAATTGGTACGGGTGGGGGGGGGGGGGAAGAGGTGAGAGAAATAAAAATAAAATATAAAAAAGTAACAAATTTTTAAAGTGTCTCCATGATACTATGTTATAATTTAAAGTAAAAGCAAAAATTATTTCATAACTATTTTTAAACTATTTAATGTAATAAAGGAGAGTGAAAAATACCTTACTCTTAGGTCCCATCTCCTAGGTATTGAAAATCCCCTCGTGGCTCTTCCGCATGGCGGGTTGGACGACTCCTACAGTGGCTAAGCCAGGAGGGACCGTGCAGAGACAACTCTCCAGTTTCATCCGAATATAAAGAGGAGAATACTCACTTGCTCTTTAAGTTAGGAATGGCTTCTTAAAACAGATGAACCTATAACGAGGTGAGCCGTATATTTATCTATTTGGTTAACCCAGGTTCTTGGAGCGTACATGAAGAAAACCGCGTTATTTTATCCCATGGAAATCCTGAAAAATGAACCAATTAAAACAAGACAACAACATCCTAAAATATTTTGGTATGGATGAACCATTTTGGACGAACCTGATTAAAGAGGAGGAGCACACCATATTTGATTACCGGAATAAGAACATCCAATTGGAGTTTTCACAAAAGAAGTGTTCTATGTTCAATTGTGTGGAAGGAATTCTTCCTTTACACATCTCAATTATATTCAGAGAAAGTGTTCATTAGTCAATTTTATAATAAAAAACTTTTAATAATGTCAATCATTCTTCAGCCTCGCTTAGGAATCAATCAATACAGTTATTATCATAGGTACTACATTTATGAAATTTTGACAGTTGTGTTCAAAGATTCCTAATCACATTTCTACACTCTGAAAAGAAAAGGAAAAACCTGAATAACTCTAATACCAACTCCATAATATGTTATAAACACCCTATAAAAATTCTACATGAATATATCTGAAAATATTTAATACATTTTTTAAA